CTGACACAGGCTTCACGGTGGATTGACAGAAGGTCCCCCTGACTCAGCAGCGCTGACACAGGCTTCATGGTGGAGTGACAGAAGGTCCCCCTGACTCAGCAGCGCTGACACAGGCTTCATGGTGGAGTGACAGAAGGTCCCACTGACTCAGCAGCGCTGACACAGGCTTCATGGTGGAGTGACAGAAGGTCCCCCTGACTCAGTAGTGGTACCTGGGGGCCACTGTGTCCACTCATGATTCCCATGTCCCCTCAGTAAGGTCGTCTTTATCAAGCATGCTTGGAATACATTAACGCTATTCGTCAATAAGCAGCTACAACCATCCAAGCTTTTGTCCCCATTAAATCAATCACACAGCTGGATGTTTCAATATTCGCCTCAAAGCTCTGGAGCTTCTCCACCATATTGTCAAGTGACTGTGGAATCCATAGTGATGAGTGAGGTGACGGCCTGTTGCGGGACATGCTACCAGCGCATTAGCGAAGCCTGTGCTGCTAATGGATGTGATGTAATGAGTGTTAATGCAGCCCCCGCTGTCATCAGCATTTCTTGTCTTTAAGTGACAGGTTCAGTCCTGCCCTGCACACAAGTCAGATTACTCATTGGTTATATGTACATATTTGTAATTGACTTTACTACCTAATTCCAAAATATCCATGATTTTTCACTTAACATGAATTCTGGATAGTGCTTTTATCTCCCTTGTAAGGCCATAAAAAAGAACAAAGAATGAGTGAAAATTTCAAAATAACAAAAAATTATCCGTTTTTTTCATGACCTTCAAAATATCCTCAACTTTAAACTGTTTAAGAGCTAGAGGTTTAATTTCATGGGTATTTTCCCCAAAGAAAACGAAAGGCGCCTGTACAACATTTAATTAACGATGGGCTGAAACCAGTGTAAATGTAGAGAAGATCCGCAAGCACAATAGAACTGCAATAAAAATGTCACTAAGTTGCTTTTCAGTTATGGTTTATTATGCGATATCTCCTTCTCAAATGTCAGACGTCTGTTGACAATAAATCGTATCTATTTCATTCACGAGTCAGTAAATTAAATCGCCTTGAACATGCGCGACATTTTCGGAAAGCTGAGGACCCGTCGGCAGATTACAGCACCACCGAAAACAAACTGGGGATTCTTTCCTTCTCGAGACTTTCTCCATACTTTTAAGGCGAATCACAAAAACGAAAACAGCCTCGTTAAATTAATATCGACATGTATAGGAGCTAAGGAATTTAAGATTTTCGTAACATTTGTGTAACCGCGGCCCATATTTCCTTAGTAAACAACCAGGAAATTAAACCGATTTAAAGACTTACATGTTATGGACAATTAATCGATTGCCACACAATTAAACTACTCACATATCCAATGCATTTGTCATTTGAATAATTTTTACAGCCTTTTTGCAGGAGTTCCTCCTCAATCACCTACACTTCTTCTTCTAGGTGTAAGATATCATTTTCACCCCCCCCCCCCCCCCCCCCCCCCCCCCCCACACACACACACACACATACACACACCAGTATAACCTTTAACACTGGCATCCTGGGTTGATTTTTCCAGCTTTTTCAATTACCTCAAGAAAAACACCATACCGATGCCAAATGCTCTTTCCATAACCTGACTGTTAAAAATGTGCTGAAGTAATATAGTCTGACTGATCGATTGCAAGTTGAAGTTTCAAGTCGGGTATTGCTGGCTTTTGCTGCTGCGTTGACCCTGGATTACAGAGCCTAATCCCTGATTACATCGAGCAATAGCCTCCATTCGCCATCCCCCCCGGCCGCGGTGCCTCTCTTCCAGCACGGCTGCTCCGTCAGTCCCCTCTCCCCTCAGACCCTCCACGCTCTGCAGCTTTGTCATTCTCCACTCCTCCACACTCCCTCAGTTGTACTCCTCTTACAATCTCTCCATTCATTTTTTTTTAACTCAGCAGATTATTCGTGCACTCGGCGTCCCGTTATCTGACAAACGCCTCCGAGTTTACATAGCAGGACAGAGTCAGGTGACGCACCACCCTGAAGGGTCCAACAGATTAGCCCTGCACCCTAAACCGCACAACTGACCGCCCCTCCCACAGCTACCGCCGATACTTGATGACCTGTGGTTGCCGTTTGGATTGTGCTTTCCGCCGCACAGCTGCCTTCGGCAGGGCGACACGCTCCGCTCAGCCTTGTTTGTGGACACAGCGTAGTTTAATAGTGTCGCCTTTGGCTGAATTTACTCCATTCAACACGGCACTTAGGAAATCTGACTCACAAAGACGAACTCCCCGCAGGGAAATGTCTGTCACGCACAATGCCTGTCCCAGCCCGTAGACCTCTCTCTTAGACGTAGCGTATTGTAACACAGATAATGGCCATATTAGGCACGAATGACAGTGTAAACAGACGGCATAAAGAGCATCTTTTGAAAATAGCGACCAAGAGCCTTTTAACAAAATGCACAATAACTACACGTGTAGGCAGCAGCGGACAGGGTATTAAACAATGGTATAGTGCCATACCGAGTAATCAGCTGAATAAGACCCTAACGCAGATCCGGAGCGCTGGGTTCACGGTGAAGGCGGTACATGCCGGGTTGAATATGGACAGATCGGGCGGGCATAGCGGGCAGCATTGCAGCAGGCCGAACTGACATTACATCCGACATCCCAAATGACTGCAGGTTATGGGAGCCAAGAAATCACCAAGGCGTACGACAAAAACCGCGCTGCCAAATTAGACAAACACGGAAGTCTATTGATAGTTTTAAATTTAAAATGTGTATGAAAATTATGTAAATATCAGGAGCTTCCCCTTTCACCTTAACATCTCACGGTGCTTCAGTGTTCGGCTAAAGGACAGGCAAGCGGACCTTTGCGCGGCTGACAAGCCCAGTAAATCCCCAAGTAAAGTTAACACCTGGTACTCAGCACATCGCAGTTTTCACTTTTCACGTCGCATCACAAGCGGTATTTGGATTACTGACGTACCGCAAATAAGGTACACTATTCTACATATGCTGTAATCTGAGGATTCTAGCCTGCCAAATTAATCGTGTCCTCACTGTGCAAAAAGCGCGCAAATGGCAAGAAAATCTAAAGGAAATAAATGATTTAACCGAAATCCCCCGTTCAGCGATCGGTCTTTCCCAATCGAGTATCCCCGCTGACAGCTGGACGTGTTGACTCCAATCAGATGCACTTTGCAGCTGCCAGTACAGCTGGATTATCTATCCACAAACAAAGCGCACCGGTGCACCAGACCCAAATAAAAATCAGGCACTAGGCACACACCTATACCTGCCAGCTCTTGGCGAAACCCCATTTGATACGTTCAAATTTTAAAACATATATAGGCATACAGTCGCGCAACTGTACATCGGCATATTCATTGATTGACATGTCGCAAGATCACTAATAAGTATCCGTCCTGAGCAAGAAGTACGAGCTATTTTTGTAGAAATGTGTGGTAAATACGCACATGATCACAGCTTCTTTCCTGAAAGTCGTTCATCATTCATCTGCAAATATGCCTCATCCACAGTTAACAAATCATGATGAGGCATCACGTTAACTTACCGACGCCGTATTTTTCGTGTTCAGACGGTAGCCACATAATGACGGTTTTCACATTAAAAATGAATGCAAAAAAGCAACAGCACAGCGCAGGAATTACGTGCGACCCGCTACATTGTAACTAGTGGGTCCCTCTCATCTGCTGGAGTTATTGTTCTGATTGCAGGAGCCGGGGCGAAATACAGCGAAATATACTGGGGGGTCGCGCTGCATTTTGGGAAATGTAGTCATGTGACTGACATGGACTACGAGTCCCGTCGACGTGTCTAAACTGTGTCTAATTTTAAAGCACTATTATGCATGCCGGCATTGCGGTAGACTATTATTAAAACATATCCTTAAGTTGATAGGTTTCTTTCCGTATTTTGCTCATTGGTTTACTTATTATGGTATTAGTTTAATAAAAACTAAATAGATTTTATATTATGGTTACATTCAGGGGCGCCGTAAGGGGGAGGAAAGCTAGGACGATTCCAAGGGCCCCTGAGTGACAGGGGCCCTAAAAAATTAGGAAAATAACTGGATTGGTTTGGACTGGGGGGGCTAATATGATATGCTTTCATGGGGCCTAAAATCTCTAGCAACGCCCCTGGTTACATTTGTACATAGGATTAGGCCTATTTGTAAAGTGAGTTTTGAAAACTGTATAGAAAACAACAACAAACAACAAATTTATTTTTGTATAGCGCATTATCACAACATTACATTGTCCCAAAGCGCTTTACAGCATCCCCACCCAAAGCCCCCAGTGAGTAAGCCATAGGCGACAGTGGCAAGGAAAAACTCCCCAGAAGGAAGAAACCTTGGGAGGGACCAGACTCAAAGGGGGAGCCCATCCTCCAGGGGCCGGCAGGGAGAGTCAAATACAGTGAAATCTGAAACACAAACGGGGAGCAGGGGGGAGATGACTAGCCGGTGCCACCACTCCCTCCAATCGCCAGGCAGCCAGAAGGCAGGGAGCGGGTCAAACAAGGAAGATGACACAGGCAAAACGGCGAGCTGGATGCAAGGTCGTCATTGGTCGTGGCGACGTCACATGTTGCAGGGTGTGCTGGACATCTTGATAGATTGAGGGCTCCAGGCAGCACCCCCCAGGAGAAGGTGGTGGAAATAAATGCAATTAGTCAAAGTAAGGGAGACTATAGGCAGTGCTAAAAGTTAGATGAGTGCAATATGAAGTCCAATGAAAACTTCGTAAAACAGCACTGCTGCACTGACCACAGGGCTGGTGATTAGCCCAGCACAATACCTGTTGACATTTTAAGTTTTAGCAAATTTGTAATTGCTTTTGTTTGGCAAGCATTTACTAGAAAGGTTAGATTGCCTGGCACAAGGGGTCAATGACATTGTAAGCCTAAAAAGAAGCATAATTATTTTTATTTCATTTGCTTTGTCCACAACTTAAAATATACCATAATATTCTGGTGAAACTTTGCAAGTGTGCAGCTCTGCAACACAGACTAAACTCTAAACTCCTGTGATCTGGAGGTCAAATCTGTAGTTGGAGTGATGTCACTGCTGGGCCCATAACCACCGTTACCCCAGCGACTGTCCGACTCTGCCGTTTCACTTGTACGCCGCTTTGGATTAAAGTGTCTTCTGAATAAATAAATGTAAGTAACAAAACACGAGTGGATACAGACATTGCCTACAGGTTTTGGCAAAATAACCTATAAAACTGAATTAATAAATGAACACCCAGTGGACGAATAGGCAGGCGGGAGAATGCGGACCGTTTGGAGCTTTTCCACTGCCAGCAGGAACCGAGCCGGACCCACGCTGACAGGGTCCTGCTTACTAGCAGGACGAAAAGCATGACCAAACCGAGCTGGTTGCATCACCACCATCTGATTGGTTGAAATGTACAGAGATAACCCAGGTCCAGAAAATTATCTGATGGAAAAAGGGTATATTCTATATATTATTCATTATTGGCAGTATCACAATCATTGATGCTTTCCCAATAACCCCAAACTTGAAAATTTCCATCCTCCATCTTAAAAAAGTGCTATAGAACAGCTGAACAGAATGGATTTGTAAAGCAAATTGGCACAAGCAAATGCTAATTCCGCTAGGGTTTGATGCTAACATAACACAGCAATTCTCATAGACGTGCTAGCAGAAATTAGCACACCATAGAAAAAAACAATAATTGCATATAGTAAATCATGATGTGTGAACAGTAACTAAGTGTCACTTCAGTTTTACGTCACTGTCGCTCTCCAAATCCGGCAACGCCTTTACCGAGCCGACCTTTCTGCAAGCTGGAACTGCGCTGTAACTAGTCTCTCTTCACCGTTTGACGGTTACGGGTCGGTTACTGTATGCCAGTGGAAAAGTGCCATTATAGTCAAGGTTTCACCTGCCATATAACTACCCCAAACATAGGAGTGGCTTCTGCTCAGAACAGGCCCAGATAGGTGTTTCAGAGCACAGAACCTCATGGGATATTTCAAAACCAGACCAAACCACAGTGGCCGACAGAGGTGGCCGGCGTCTGCTTCACATGCCACACTGTATCCGTGTGAGAGCAGTGAGGAGGAGAGGCAGGGGACAGGAAAGGGTGTTGGCATGTTTCAGAGGCGCCGTTATTTTGTACGTTGGCAGGTGTGATTCATAAGTTTCAGTCCCTTAATCTGTGACTCCCCCCCCCCCCCCAAAAAAAAAAAAATCTGAGCAGGGTGTAATGGAGATTGTGTTTGCTTGTGGTACCTGCATAGCTGCATGTCATGAGATTTACATCATGCACTGTTTAGTGCCATTGTGTGCTAAAGTAGATGAGTCGGTAATGTGGTATAGACGTCCAGCTGAGCAGAGCAGATTAGGGGGTCCTCTTTATATCCGCTCTGATTGGCTGACAGGTCCGCGGCTTATGTGGTTTTCCTGTGAAAGGCACCTGGTGTGAGACTGTCACAGCTCCCATTGGCTGTGGCCCCCACAGTTCAAATGTGAAAGGAAAGCAAGTCTAAAATGTGTCTTCTGTGTCTTCACTGTGGTCAAGTGTGTGTGTGTGTGTGCAAGCGGATATACCTTACCTTATGGGGACACAATGTCCCCACAATGTGATGAATACACATTTTTTTCTTTTATAGGGACCAGTTTCCTGGTCCCCATTAAGGGAAAATTCAGTTTAATAAAAATCTGTGACTGCAATGAAAAATCTAAAAATGCAGAAACTCTTGTATTTTGCTTGATTATGGTTATGGTTAGTGCAGGGTAGGGCTAAGGTTGTCATAGTCAGCGTTAGCATTTTTCCCATAGAAATTAATGAGCGGTCCCCATAAGGATATGTTTACCCGACATGTGCGTGTGTGTGTTTGTGTACATGAGTGTCCACGTACTTACAGTATTAGCCCATGCTGTGGAGTTCACACTCAGTGGGGGTGTTGGGGGGCAGTACCTTCAGCATTGTGGGATTGCATTTGCAAATGAAATTCTTCAGGCTCTTCGAAAGCTGACAACCTTCTAGGTGAGGAAGTTCCTGCTGGGGTGCAGCGCTCAAGTCAGTGTGCTGTGACATCCGCGGTCCTGGGTCCCTTTGGCTGAGGCATCCTATGTGAGCAGAAAGTAAACAGCTACAAAGGAGAGGCTTTCTGCCTCTAAATGCCTCTGCCTTCACCTGCCTCATCCAGCTGCACTGTGGGTGGACATTTTCTGACTCTCCTCCACTAAGTGAATCCTGAGGACAGACAGGGAGATGCTGTCTTTCTGTGGGAACAGTGGGGGTGCCATTGGGTTCCACGCCACCAAGCTCCCACCTTTGCTGAGTCCGGAAGGCGTAGGATTCAGTCCCCGGCTGTCCTGCTTAGCTTCATAAAAAGCTCATGTTTGTTAAGGCCTGAATGGTGTGAACTGGGGCAGCAGGTGGTGCTGTGGCTAAGGCTGTGATTGTCATCTAACGGTTGCTGGTCCGAGTCCCCTTTGGGGCCAAGTGGAAGCACTTGAGTGCTAAACCTGAAACGCTGCAAAGTGAAAACATCCAGCCGTATGAATTTAAAGAAGGTCTCGAAGCCGGCATGCAAATCGGCAGAATAAAAGCTCTCAGTGGACCTCAGTTGTGAAATGGCAAGAGCTGACTTCCCCTTGAGCTTCGCCCCCAAGGAATAGCGGCTTCATGTTACTGAGAGGGGCGCGGAGGGATTGCGGGTTCATGTTACTGCTACACAGATGGGGGGGGGGGTGATGGGAATCCACACGCAGTGTGCGGCCCTCAAAGCTGTCTGCCCCCTCCGGTTTGAGGGGTTCTGGAAGGAAGCCTGTGCTGTTTTTTGTCAGTCTGGATTTAAGAGAAACATGGGCTGTGTATATGTGAGACGTTTCAGGGGCGTGGATGCAGGACGAGTCCCTTTGTTCACCTGATCGGCCTTCAAAGGTGTAACATTAGCAGCTTAGCCAGAGGGCGTCCTGGGGGCACACATGCAGTTCTGGGGGCTTTACGGTTTGTTCATTTTTGACTTGAGAGCAGATCAGATCAGCTCATCCTGTATGTTTCCATGACCCTCATACCCGCTTGTACCCCAACGGGGCCAATTAAAATTTCTCCTTTTCCATCCTTCCGGTGCCCCCGATCAGTTTTCCTTCTTGGAGACCTAGTTCTTCCACAGCAATATCCGTGAGCATAGTGAATCCGTCTGGTTTCGGTGGCAGTAAGCTGAACAGGGTGTCACCTGACTGCAGTGACATGCCCCAGCCGGCCCCAGCCTGCCGCCGGGTATCACACCCCCCCATGACATGGTGGGATTAGCCCACAGCGTGTATCTCACACGCACTCAGCGCCGTGGACATTCTAACAGCAAAGAGGTGTTCCTCCGAATGTGCCACCATCTACAGTAACATTACATTTGTGTTCATTTAGCCCAAAGCAATGTTCATGTCAGGCAAATAGGACATCCGTGACATAGAGAGACGTCACATTTGGGAGGTGATTTCATCCTAAGTGACACACAAGTGAGAATCAGAAAGCAGCGTCAAATAGTGTCCCAGCGGCAATTTGGGTTACTGGCTAAAGGGTCCAACAGTGTTACTGGCCATAGGATTTGAAGCAGCAACCTTCCCGTTCCATTCCAGTGCTAACCCAGAAACCACACACCACCCGGGCTCCTTTTAGCACAGGGGAGCCCTGGTCTTTCCATCCACTTGGAAACAGCATAT